CTCAACAATCACTGGACCAGAAAAGCTGAAACTTATTTGGAAGCATCATGGAGTAGTGCAGATTCCAAATTGTTAAAATTGTGACCCCCGGGTATGGGGGGGGGGGGCGAGGCCAGAATAGGTATTACAAGGGTGGATATCTGGTAATTAAGAACGGCATAACCAAAGCTACTCAGGTGAGCTATGTAGCCCATGGGCCTCATGTTATATTTCTTTGGGAAAAAAGCAGTTGGTTTGATGTACTATCCCAGCAGAAATTGCAAATTTAATAAATTATCCAGTGAATCTTCATGGAAAGTGAATGAATGAAGGATATGGAGATACCGAACAGTATTCAATATCAAAGTCCATAAAACAATATAAAACAGGAGCAGAGTAAACACAGATCTCCGAAACATCAGAGGTTGGATCAGGTGCCATGGAGGAGTGAGCATACCCTGCCGACCAGTCATACCCGCCGTGTGCTCCTTGTCATGATTGGGAAATAACGGAAAATATATCGTCAATTCAGTGTATATATAAATAATGGACTAACAGTTAGAATGAAAAACGTCAGTCAGCATTTGACTCAATGATAAATTGTATTTGCTGCCAAGGTCATTGTATCGACCAAAGAACTTACAAAATGATGACTTTAAACGAGACTCCTGATACTCTTGTTTCATCAACTTGTCTGTAACTTCAACTTGTCAATAACTTACCTAGTTTTAGAAATTGTTCATACGTAGAATATGCTGTTGGTTTCGAATCAACTAAAGGCATATAAACACCGTAGGCAGGTGATGAAGTATAATGCTGCATAAGTAAGGGAAGTTGACGATAGAAAAGTTAAAGTCATGATTATCATAGAGCTTGGTTGTTAGATTACCGTTAACGTTTTTTCAAGTAAAATATCCAAGTATGAAACACATGTGTCAGACTCTGTGGTATCTTTTATCTCAAGAACCCCGGTATATCGTATCGACATAGGAATGGAAATTACCATTGTTAATTGACAATACGTCGTCGGTATATCTAAATGTTGAGTCTAATATCTGCAACGGTGTGTGTAAACAAATTGAGTGCGTGTTCTGAAAATTTGTTTGCACACGCCGTTACAGTTATGAGACTATATCATTCAAATATAATGACGTAATGCTTTTATTTGCATTTTTTACTCTCTGCCTTGATTTTAATGTGACATATTTTTAAACCCATGTATTATCCGTCGTGTAAACTACAGATAATGAAAGAGACAATGTAACAGCTTCTGCTCAATGTGAGCGTGATTTCTGATTTTCACTTATGACGTTACATATCCTCGGCGTTCAAGGATTGTGACGTAAAAATAAAACAAATGTTTTAACCTTTTGATCCCCTTAATGTATTCTGTGTTTTTAATGCTATAGATTTCCATTTATTTTATATGCAAAAGCATGTGTAATGTAAACATAATATATTAAACAACACAAAGCTGCCTTTAATAAATGTTTTTTCAATCCTCTAAATTAAGGGTTAAGAAGATTGGGGGTACTCTTTAAGATTCCTCTAACAAACTGACGCTATCTGCCTTAACATGATACGTATACAATTACTCAAAGCCTCCATCTCTTTTATTTTCAAATCGGATTAGATACATGTAGCAGCTACCGAAGCCAAGATTGATTTTCAATCTATCAAACAAGTAGAGATTTCACAACAAAAATTTAAATACAATTATGTTTTTATCTAATTTTTTATTTCTCAGTTAAAATAAATCATTTTGCATAATTAGATGTTCATTCTCTTTTTTCGTTTAAGTACTGTGTATGTTAAGGGACCCTCGTCGCCACCGAGCCATATTATAAGCGTGGTAGTGGGACTAACCGTCCTTCTAATTGTCCTTTGTATGATAGCTGTTGTGTGTTACAGAAAGAGGCGAACACGTGAGCATATTTGACTATAGTTTTAGCATATGACTTTTAATATTGATAAAAGCATAACAATTATACAATGTTTCAAAATATAAATACATGACGAAAGATAGTATCATGTAACGTAATATCCACAGATACATGTATGCATTTTTTCAAGATTAATCGTGGAATTAAATTTTTTTCTGACATTGAACAAAAGCATGTTTCATCATTATCAATATTTCTTTACAAATCAAGCTATGATTATTTATTCATACAAAGGACATTTTATTTTTGAAGCTAATTTAAATCAAGAACAGATATTCATTTTTTAATTCGGGCTATTGATTGAAATTATCTAAAAGATTTTTCATTGTAGATAAAAAAAGAAATGAAAAAGAAGAAAATATCCATTTACTACCTCTAGGTACAATTTTAAATTCACAATACTCTCAGTATTTTCAATTTTATAAAGCCAAATCACATGTTTTCCACTGATTAAAATAACTTTAATCTTTGTCAGATATACCACCGTTCTACAAAACTTCAATTTTCCACAAAGCAAATGCTTTTCTCAAAGACGGTGGTAAAATTCTGTGTTTGATTGGAGAATGGGGATCTGGGAAATCGACAATGGCCAAAGAAGTTTATATGTCCCGTACTGGAAGAACACCAGTTGTTATAGAGGACATATTGAAGTTTGATGTGAGTACTTGTCAGGACTCTTTTATCGTTGAGGAACCATTACCAAGAGAGAGCATTTCTGATAAAGAAACAAGAGATATTGTAGAAAAGATGATTTCTTTATGTAAACAAATACAGACATCTAATGACATATTTCTAATAATCACTTCAACTGAGGAAGCCTGGGGAAAAATTACAGGGAAAATCAAGGATTGCGTAGAACAAAGTAATGATTTATGTTGTCTTGATATAAATTATAAGAGTTTGACAAACGCAGACTTGATGCAAATCCTTCACACCATCTTCGAACATTACAATCCAGATACACCGTTTACTAATGTAGAAAAAGCTGCTTCAAAGATGAGCGCTGAATCATTTGGTTTCCCAGAAATATGCACATTGTTGTCGAGATGTAAAGAATTTCAAAACAGTCCTGTTGTGTTTCTGAATAGACCATTGCGTTATTTAAGTTTATATTTAGAAAACATGACTAAATCTCCTGAGGGAAAAGAAAAGTTTGCAATAATGGTATTTATGAGTGTAAATGATATGAAAATAGATGTTAATGAATTGAACGAGAAGCTTAGGAAAATATTTAGAACGTGTGGTCTCAACGCAGACAAAAAAGTGCAGTTACAAAAGATTTTACCACTGGAATTCGTATTACAGGTAGATTCGTCAGTTTATGTGTTACAACATGAAATTATAAAGAGAATAACTCTTATAACTTTTGGAAAGTTTTACTTCTCAGATTTACTTAAGTTTTCTTCGAAGAAAGATTTGGTAGGCTGGATTAAACTCAAGAAGACACACATTTTTACAAAGTTGTTGGACGGTACACAGCAAGCGTCGGATATAGAACCAGTTCTTGAAATTAATGAGGAACAATGGATTGAATATCTGAAGAAAATGGAGAGTACATCTCAACCAACATGTGAGAAAAGTGATATAACAAATGACAAACATAATATTGACCTCTGAATGAAGAATATGGAGATAACGAATAGTATTCAATATCAAAGTCCATAAAACAATAAAAAACTGGAGCAAAGTACACACGGACCTCTAAAACATCAGAGGTGGGATCAGGTGCCATGGAGGAGTGAGCATCCCCTGCCCACCGCTCACACCCGCCGTGTGCTCCTTGTCATGAACGGGGAATAACGGAAAATCCGTCGTCAAATCAGTGTATGAATAATAGACTAACAATTAGTATGAAAACGTCAGTCAGCATTTGACTCAATGATAAATTGTATTTGCTGACAAGGTCATTGTATTGTAAAATTGTACAACTGTACAATACCATTGTAAAACAATTGTACCGTTTGTAATGTAGATTTTTCATTTGTTAGTAAACACTACTCATGTTGAAAAATGAAGCAATCTACAGTTTTGATTGATTGTATGTTGTTTTACCTTCCATTTGGGAATTTTTCACTTATATAGACACGTAACTATAAACCGGTGAAGGGCGTCAAATTTAGACTTATACTCGGCACTCAGGGTCTTTGAACAGTTAGGAATCTTTATGGTGCCAACGCCTGTCGTGACGTGGAGCCTGAGTTTTTAAGGTCTCATCCGAAGGACCCGCAACTTTTACTTCAAAGTTCCTAGCAGTGAGGGAACAGTTGTTAACTTTTTATCAACTAGACTTAGGTCTATCGCAGCCGAGATTCGATCTCACGATTTTCCAATCACGGAGTGAGCGCTCTACCGACTGAGCTTCCGTGATATACCAATGAAGGAAAATGCATGCTTGTTACTATACAAAGAAAATGTTTTATTTTCATTTATTTATTCCATATAGCTATATGCATTTAACTTATTCTTTACATAGAAATTAAATAAAGTCTGGAAATGTTCTGTAGTAAATAATATTTTTTTTACCATGTTTCGATATGACCATTAATATGTAAGTTTTTCCGATCAGATGAGATTTGCCAAGTAAAAACAAAAACATTAACGAGGTTCGCTCCTGAGCTTTTGAGCAGATTTATATCTTAACCTGTATTTCTAAAAACTCTATGTTATAATTCTTACATCAAATTTGGATTCTACGATGTCAGTTTAACTATATATAGTTAAAACTCCATGATTAAATCCTGCACCAAAAGAATTTTTTGAGGAACTATAATTTTTGGCGGAAGGTTTTTTATTTTGAAGAAAATGATCATTTTTTTCTCTTTCGAAGTATTTAAAGTATGTTAATTTTGGATTCCTATCTTTCCATGCAGCCTGCCTACAGAGTTATTTTGTGCATAAGACTGTTTTATACTGGTCCAAAATCATCTATTAAATAAACAGTCATATTTCATAAATATAGCAAATATATTGTGAAAATAAAGGAAAAATAGTCCTAATTTAAGCTTATGATTAACACTATTTTACTAACATAATAATAATGATTGTTTTTATATAGCGCTTTTCTAGCATAAATGCTACTCTAAGCGCTTTACAATACATTATTACGCCAGCAGACCTTAACAATCCAGAATCTTTCTCAGTGCAAGCTGCCGTTATCAGCGCTAGAACACTAACATTCTGACAATATCTTTCACTGTCTATAGCCAGGTACCCCTTTTACACTTGGGTGGAGTGAGGAAATTCGTGTAAAGTGCCTTTCCCAAGGACACAACGTCGGCTTGTCGCAGCCAGGATTCGAATTCACAACCTTTCGGTTTAGAGTCCGGCACCTTAACCACTGAACTATCGACGCCACGCAACATCTAAACATTAACATCACAGACCACCAGTTTAAATTTTCTTTTCTGAATATATACAATATTTTTTAACTATTCCTCTTAAATTCAGTAAAATGTCATTACTTTCAAATTAATATTTTGCTTGTTTGATTTTTATGCCAGAAAAATTAACATGTTTAAGTGCAAAAAGGTAAAAAAAAAATGAGCATGCGGAGAAATTTGAAAATATCTTCCTTGTCACAAATTAAAAGTGTCTCTTTAAGATAAAATAAGACTGTGTTTTCTCCCATTTATTTGAACAAAAATATTGGAGGAAAAAAAAAAAGGTTTATGTGTGCGATGTTTTTACAGTGCAAAAACGTCAAACTAAATGCTCTGTAGAGACAAAAGACGCGCATTTACCCCCACTTTTTGTTTTGATTTTTAATAAAGCTATATGTATAAATTCTAAAATTATACTTGAAAAGAAATTCTTATTGCTGTTGATTGCCGGATCCAGCCTCCTTAAGCACATTATTCCTGAAACAAGCAACTTTTGTTTTCTAGGGTTCAGATCATATACATCAAAATGAATTTGATATTACAGTAAAAGTCGGTTATAAAAACGTACAGTATCTCAGATTGTGTTTCCGTAAAACAAAGATTTTTTCATTTCGAGAATTATGGTGGCATATACATGCTATACACATACCATACAAATTAGTTACAATTTTATTTTTTTTTTACGCAGCACAGTTAAGGCTATAATAAGAAGGGGGTCTTACTTATATGGGAAATTTTTACTATGACGTCACACAAAACTACTAGGTCCTCAAATGACCTCAAAATAAAATTTTTTGCTATACTTAATTGTAGAACAGATCTAGACTATATCAAATCTTCGTATACCTGTAGTTTTTTCATTTATTTCAACCCACAAAGCATGATATAAAGGACTCATTGATTGCAAGGTACGTGTCAAAGTGACGTCATATCGTAAAAGTTGACGCTGTTTGTATGCAGTGGGAGGCTGATAAAGCTACATTTTGTACAAAAAATAATGTTGTAATCAAATAAAATATTATTTGCAGATATATAAAGTAATTAAATTGGATGCGATGTCTATTTTACTATTCAATGCATGGACTGTCCGTTTATTCTCTAGACAAGTGAGGCTGTCGCATATTTGCAGATTTGTCGTAGATTCATTTAAAAAGTAGCAGAAGGGTTCTAATATATCGATTTATTGCAAGGACATACCCTTATATGCCAAGTTTTTTTTTTACATATAAACTGAAGAACCATTAGAATATTGGAAAAGTGCCGTGAACCCAATGTAATCTTGCAAAATAAGTTTATTATATCTAATTTAAAAAAGGACTGAGGAATATTTCGGGGACTTTGTGATCATTGCTGAGGTAAACGGTAAATTTAGTCTTGTTACCCTTCACAAGACCGCGTCAAGCATACTTTTTGGTTTTTAATCACTAAGAAGAATCAACAACAAAAAATCAGAAAACAGAATAATCAAAGGTGCTGCAAGTTTGATAAAAGTTGACATTTGTTTAGAAGATGATCCGATATCCCCATCAACTTTAAAGTCTTCTGAAACAAACTTTTAATATGTACCAGAGAGCTTGCATTTGTTTCCACAGGTTTTGATCACAAGCATTGACACTACATTGAAAACATCCTCCGCTGAACAAGCAGCAATGGAATTCACAAGACCCTGAAGTATCATAGCTCCATTACAAATCGGGCTTGGCATTCAACTCCATCATCGTTTTGATTCAAAGTTTCACATATATACTTTGTATAGCTTTGGTTTTTCCTCAGCTTACTCAGTGGTGCTTGAGTATGAAGTCAATGCTGCATAAACGACAGAGTCTACACAAAAGGATGATTTAAGTGGCAACACCTCGGTCTAGTTTGTTGCTGATAATTTTGACCAAAACAATCGCACTTTAGATAGACACGAAACGTTCCATGACTTGAGTATCATTGTTGGATTCAAACGAAAGCAACAAAAGGAAGTCATCATTTTGCAAGTTGGAATCACGACCAAAGAACTAAAAAATGCAGAAGTTGATTTTCACTTTTGTAAGCTAGACCAAAGAAACTATTATCGTTTTACAAACAACGTGACAGTTTGCTTGATAGGGCGTGCTAAAATTTTGTATGCCCATTATCATTGTACTCATAGATTGGACGATTGATTTCAATGGAATCAATAATACTTTGCATATGAAACAGAGAACCCAACAATACCACTGACAATACTGACCAATCGTTTTGAATGACATGTTTACGAGTATGCAGTAAACAACAATTACATGTGGACGGACAAAGCAAGTTTTACAATCTATAATGATAGCTACATTAGTACAACAGTAGCCGAGTAGCCTTGCTTACTAATTCCATTCTTTGAGTTTTCTTATACATGCACGTAGGCCTACATAAAACCCAATGCGGTCAAATCACAACAAATGTAATACACGCGTTTTTTAAGGACAGAAAGCGGTCTTAGACAGACCACGTGTTGCTGTTGAGTACAAATGTCGCACTGGTGAACAATCATTCAATGTGATTGGCCGATATTATCAGGATATTGTTGTATTCTGGGTTTCATATGCAAATTATTATTCATTTCATTGAAATCAAACGTCCAATCGATGAGTAAAATGATAATCAGCATACAAAATTTTAGCACGCCCTATCAAGCAAACTGTCAAGCTGTTTGTAAATTGATAATAAGTCGATATTTTTTTCACAGATTTAAACGTCACAGAAGTTGAAGATACTTCATGTGATAAATCACTTCACTGCAGCGTTGTTTGGTCAAAGCGAATTCCAAGCCGGTCTTCTACCTGTCAAATGGTAAACAATCGCGATTATCCTGGACAGTCAAATGTTGAGATCTTGCCCATGTTACACATGAACCTAAGCGATGCATTTTTGTATTTTTTCACGCTACATTTTGTTTGCAAAAAGGCTAGATAAAGTACATATTCCGGTGCTGACATTTGATCAGCCTTTGTATTGTAAAGCTTCGAATACTTTACGATAGGAGGCGAGACACATATGCGTCGGAACCGGGGGGGGAGGGGGGGGCTAGCCCACCCCCACTTTTTTGCAAAGATAGACATAATATAGGGATTGAACATTTGGGCGTAGGTTTAGCCCCCCACTTTCAACAGGCACGTTGCATTTTTTTAAGCTTGTCAAGTTTTTTGGTAGGTTTGAAATTTTTCTTTTCACTTAGCCCCCCTCCCCTTTCATTTTGCTTCCGAAGCCAATGCATCAGGAGATAATTACGCTAAAGTCGATGTAAAGATCAATACAGCAGATATACAAGAAGACGTGGATGTATTTGATGATCTATTAAATGGAAGCAGCACCAGCAAAAATTTACAACAGATTGATGCCTTGAAAAACATAAGAAAAAAATGCATCTGTTTGAAGAATCAAGACTTACGACTACTCTTGTTTTGTTTCAGTAACTTTGATTAG